GAAAACAGGCCCAGACGGAGGGCGGATGGGCGCCAGCAGAGTGTGCTTCAAGGAGAACCCTGGGAGGTCACAGGGGCAAGCCTGCCAGCCCTCGACAGGCAGGTAGACAAAGTGGCCCTGACAGCCTCCTGACCCACAGTCAACTCCATCAAGGGGACAAGAGAGGACTGGAAGACGGCAGGGGCTGAGGTCAACAGAGCTCCTTTCTTCTGTATCCATCTACTTGGGAGGCTGAGAGACAGAAGAACGCTTGGCCTCTGGTTCACTCCTCAGATGCACATCACTGCCAGGAAGGGCGGGGCCACAGCTGGCGGCTGGCTCAATCCAAGCACACGCCTCCTGAGCTGTCACTGCTGTCTTCCAGGTACACTGAGCGGGCTTCAGGAGGTGCAGCCAGGAACCACACCCAGGCATTCTGACAAAGGACGTGAGGTATGTTAACTACACTAACTACCCACTCAAGGCTGGCATTGCAGTCAAGTGTGTTACGCCACCACCTGCAACGCGGGCATCCCGCACAGGTGTGCCTGGCGGGAAGCACTTCCAATGCAGCTCCTCAGGAGTGTTCCTGGGAAGGGCAGGTGACTGCTCAGGTGCTTGGGACTCTGCCACCCGCATGGGCAAGAGCTGGACAAGTTCTGGGATGACTCCTGGCTCCAGCCTGCACCCGCCCTCACCGCTGTGTTACCTGGGGGAGTGAAACAGACGGATATCTCTCTCTCATAGTCTCAATGCCTTTCAAGTAAATATATAATATCTTAAAAAAAAAAAAAAAGACACTACCAAGAGTTATCTCTTTAAACTTCCATGAGAGAAACTGTAACAGCATATAAGGGAGCTGTTCAAAAAAACCACTTCAGATAGGAAATCTGGTGGGGAGCTGGAGGCGTGAAGGCTCTGAGCAGCTGCAGGGGACAGCTTCAGGGGCAGGGGCAGCTCCCCTGCAACAAGAACGAGGCATAAGGGCAGCTGGCCAGAAGGACGAGGTGAGGCAGCTACCAGGCATCCTCTTCTGCTTGTCTCAGCTTCCTCGATGAGATGGGGAGCCTGCGTGCACGCAGCAAGGGGGAGATATACCCAAATCAACTGCAGGATGAACTAGGAGCTATGCCACAGCCGCCTGCCTGGATGAAGTCCCACGTTAGTCTGATGATCAAACAGGTCAGTGTGGTTCTTTCTCCAGAGCTAGGCACGCAGGGCAGGGCATTTAACCAGGACCACAGCTTCATCAAATGAGTAAGACAAGGCGAGCGAGGGGCTCTAACCCAGACAAATTCCAGATAGCCTGGTGTGGTCGGATCATGGTGAGACCAGGAAAAGATGAAGTCACCACCGGAATTCTCAACCTCGCAGCTCCCGCAGACCACTGCGGCTGCGCAGATGAACAGGAGCCGTTCCACACACCCAGTTCATTAACACAAGCTTTGGACTGTACTACTCTTCATAGGTAACAGAATTATGTCATGTATGAATATAAACTGTGTAAGTGTACATAAATGATATTACAGTATTCACGAGTGGAAAAGTCCATCTGGATGCCCGACAATAGGAACAGAAAAAATAAAGCCCATTCTGCAATACTTTTTTTCCTTCATTTTTCTGTATTATCATTAAGCATTTTCTGTTTGTATATTCCACTTTCTTTTCTTTTTTTGCTCTTTTTGGAAAGATAGAGATAGTCAACAAACTTCCATCAGCTGGTTCACTCCACAAATGCCTCCAGCAGCTGGGACAGGGCCAGGCGGAAGCCAGGACACTTGAACCACACCCAGGACTTCCATGCAGGCAGCAGAAGAGACTCAAGTGTTGGGGTATCATCTTCTGCTCCCAGGGAGCCCGTCAGCAGGAAACTGAACATGGGAGGGCAGCCAGGACATGAATTCAGGCCGCTGACCTGGAATGCAGGCATCCGAAACAGCACCTTCACCACTGCGCCCAGCACCTGCCCTGCAATTACTTCTCGTAACACATCAACCCAGATGAAGGGATGTGGAGCAGGCATCAGGCGGCAGGTTTAAGACTTGGACTAAGACACCCTGTGGCTCAGTGCCCAGCTCCAGCTCTGGACTCCCATCTTCCTGCGAATGCACACTCCTGAGGCGGGGTGATGGCCACCAGGGGGCAGACAAGGAACTGCTCCAGCTCTGAGCTTCTGCAGGCACTGCCCTGTCACATTAGGCATTTAAGAGGCTGGCCGGCACATGGGCATTCTCTCTAACAACAAGAACGATCAAGCAAAATGGAAAGCTAGGGAAGAACATGTTAAATAACTGGAAATAAAGAACAATCGTTAGGGATGAGGATCAGTGCAGTCTCCTAAAAGTTCCTTTTTCACAGTCAAAGTTTTAGGAAAGTATAAAATAGCACCCGGCACAATAGTCTAGTGGCTAAACCCAATGCTTACACATGCTGGATCCCATATGGACGCCAGTTCATGTCCCGGCTGCTCCACTTCCCATGCAGCTCCCTGCTTGTGGCCTGGGAAAGCAGTCGAGGACGGCCCACAGCCTTCGGACCCTGCACCCCCATGCATGCACAATGGGCAGCCACTTGGGAAGTGAACCAGCAGATGGAAGATCTTTGTCTTGGACTCTCCTCTCTGTAAATCTACTTTTCCAATAAAAATAAATAAATCATCTAAAATATCATAAAATGGGATCAGCCATTTATTTTACAAAATAAACTTTTAACAACCAAAAAAATTGTAAATAATTATTATAGTGACAAGGTTATGCTTGATAGGGGGCCAGCACAGTAGCTCAACAAGCTAATCCTCCACTTTATAAGCACCAGCACCTCATATGGGCACTGGTCATGTCCCAACTGCTCTACCTCCCTTCCAGCATCCTTCTCGAGGCCTGGGAAAGCAGCAGAGGTGGCCCAAGGGACGCTGCACCCCCATGGGAGACCTGGAAGGAGCTCCTGGCTCCTGGCTTCTGATCAGATCAGCTCCAGGAACGCTGGTCATATGGGGTGTGACCCAGCGAATGGAAAATTTTTCACTTTATAAAGTTTCCTTTAATAAATAAATATATATATATATATAAATGTCTAAGAAAATTGTTCATATAAAAATTCATTTAACACTGGCAACAAACCAAAGCACTGGTCTGGAGGCAGACTGGAGTCCTACCAGTCCTAGGCGGCCACAGTGAAGCACAGCATAACAACAGGCTGCTGCGGGACCTGAGGCTGGGGGCCTGGGGTGGGGGTCCTGGGGTCCTGGGAGCCTGAGGCTGGGGTCCTGGGGTCAGGGGGTCTGGGGCCCTGGGAGCCTGAGGCTGGGGACCTGGGGTCTGGGGGTCCTGGGATCCTGGGATCCTAGGGGCCTGAGGCTGGGGTACTGGGAGCCAGGGGGCCTGAGGCTGGGGGCATGGGGGCCTAGGGTCCAGGGATCCTGGGGACCTGGGGTCCTGGGACCCCCACTGATGGCTTTCAGCGTTGCCAAAACACCCAGGCTATCATATCCTGTTGGTCCCAGATGCAACAGGATCTTGGGTCCCAGGGACCGGAGTGCATTCCCTGGCATCAGAACACACAGTGCATGGGGTAGCACCTCCTGTGCTGATCCCTGTGCAGAACAGAGCGTCACCCCGTTCAGACACGAAGGACGTTGGCCTGCTCTCCCATACCCCAGCATCAAACACCAGCAACTTATCGGAGTGACAATGACACTGCAAGGGGACGTGGCCATCTGCTTACTTGTCAATCTAATGTCCCCTTCCCCAGGCTGTGCTCCCCCTCACACGGGCACGGAGTGGGGTAACCTGTAACCATGCCCCTCGCCAGGCTCACAAGGCAGAAATCTCTCACCCTTCTCCTCTCTGTCCACTTCATCCTTGGACGTGTTTCCGTGATTTCCTCACTTTTTAAATAAAGTTAACAACAACAAAAAAAATTCAAGAAAGAAAGAAATTTTCAAATATACAGTATGAATCATCAGCTGACCAGGGACAGTTCCAGTTATTACCCATAAACTTATTATTACTATTAAAGATTTATTTGTTTGAAAGTTAGAATTACAGAGAGAAAAGGAGAGGCAGAGATCAATCTTCCATCCAGGGGTCACCCAGTGGGCCACAATGACTGGGGCTAGCCAGGCTAAAGACAGGAGCCAGGAGCCAGGAGCTTCTTCAGGCCTCCCACAGGGGAGTAGAGCCCTAAGCACTTAGACCGTCTTCTGCTGCTTCCCCAGGCCACAAGCAGGGAGCTGGATCGGAAATGGAGCAGCCGGGACACAAACAGGAACCCATATGGGATGCCAGCATCACAGGTACCTGGCTCTACCCACTACATCACAACACTGACTCTGAGCTCATCTATTATAAACAAATATCCCTTCTATTATACTGAAATACTTGCCAATGTGATTGTTATAAAACATCAGATAAAGTGTGATGCCCTGAAAATTTAAACAAAATGTTCTGCATCAACGTTGAATGACAACAAGGAATTTCATAATTACCATAAGATTTGCCATTTGCAATATTTCAATTTTGCATTTTTGGATTATCTAATCTCAGGGAAATTTACTAAAAGAAACATCAACTTGCCAAAGGTAAGCCCTGAACCTGTTTGGGGGGGAAAAACACAGGGGCTGGCACCGTGGCACGGTGGGTTAAGCTGCAGTGCGCAACACCTGTATCCCGTACCAGACCCCTGCACCCACATGAGAGGCCTGGCAGGACCCTGACTGCTGCAGCCATTCGGGGTGAGTCAGCAGACACCAGATCTCTCTGTCTCTTCTCCCTCACTCTGTAACTGTGCTTTCAAATAAACAAACAAATCTTCAAAAAAGAAATGTTATGGAAAACAATTTAACAGATGATTATCAAAACGAGCAGACAGGACAGTAACAACAGACACTGCAATAATCTTTAAGCCACCGTTTTGGGATTTTCAATTGACGCCCACTGCATTTTCACTTTCCATCAACGGGGCCCTTAACACAAAGCAGAAAACGGAAACACCAGTGTGTCCCAGGAAGGACCAGGGCTTACCTGCTGCACCTATCGGGGAGGTAGCTGGGGTCATGTTGTGGACATTGAGCTCAAGGCCCTGGGAAGGAGCTGGGGCTGAGGCGGCGATGGGAGGCCCCGGAGGGTTCTCCCTCTGCGGAGAGGTGAGCGGGGTGGTCGGCTGGGAGGTCTGTCCGCCAGCAAGTCGTGCAAGGCGCCTCCGACGGATCTACAACGCAAGAGCACAGCATTCCGTCACGAAGCAGTCACGCCCAGTGCCGCTCACGGAAAACATCATCGGTAACAGCCAGAACTTGGCGGCTATAAATAAACGCGCCTCGAGAAGAGACCGGTCACTCGAGAGAAACACCCGGCACACTGGTGTTCCTGTAGGCTCCCAAAGACTCGCGTGTTTTAAGGCAGATTTACAGAAGGATTAACTCTGCTAGTTCACTCTCCCAAATGGCTCCAACGGCCGGGATGTGGCCAGGCTGAAGTCAGAACCGGGAACTCTTCTCTAGGTCTCCCACATGGGAGGCAGGGGCTCACGCACTGGGCCATCTGTCATTGCCTTCCCAGGCACATCACCAGGGAGCTGGATGGGAAGTAGAGCAGCCGGCATTCAAAACCAGCGTTCACAAAGGATGTTCGCATCATGGGCAGACACTAAGCCCACTGGACCACCACACTGGCCCCTCCCAGCTCACTTTTTAAACACATCATAATTACTTGGCCACCAGTTTATGGCACTTCCTCAACTGACAAAGGAATTTCCCGGTTTCAAACACATAAAACTGCACTTGTTCACTTTGAATAGGCAGGCTTAAAAAAAAAAAAGAGTTTGGGCCACCATGAAGGCTTAATTGGCTAATACTCTGCCTGCAAGCACCGGTATCCCATACGGATGCTGATTCATGGCCCAGCTCCTCCACTTCCCACCCAGCTCCCTGCCTGTGGCCTGGGAAATCAGTCAAGGATGGCCCAAATCCTTGGGACCCTAACCTTAACCCTAACCCTAACCCTAAGCCTGTAACCATTGTGCCAACATGGGGAGTGAACCAGCACATGGAAGATCTTTCTTTCTGCCTCTCCTCTCTGTAAATCTGTCTTTACAACTAAATATAATAAAGAAAGAAAGAAATCTTTAAAAACTTCTAATTCAGTAATAAAAAGCAGACACACAAAGATACATATTTTACTATCAATTCTAGCAGCAAAAATGATGAGGTTGTTTTCACCTATTTTCACCACACACGTGACCTCCAGAGTGGCTGAGTGATGACAGACCTGCTCCAGGAGGCCCACCCATCACAGGAGCCTGCCTCCACACCGCCTGGCGTCACACTCACCCCCCACCGCCCCAGGCAGCGAGGACAAGGCATTCTGAGCCCGCTGCTGGAGCTAAGCAGGCCTCAGGCGAGACATGGAGCACCCGGGGGGGTCCTGTTCTTTCCATCACCAATAAGGAAGACGGAAAGCTCCATGACAACTGCTCACAGGGCTGGCGTCGTCCGAACTAAGGATCGGCCTGTCATTCTGACCCTGTGGAAAGCCTGCTCCCAGTCTCATTTTCAGCCATGCAGAGAAGAGTGTCCTATTCTTGAGGTCAGAACCGCATCCTGGTGGCCCAGGCAAACATACCAGTCAACAACCTTACACTAAATCCTAAGTTGCTAGGTCAGTCACTTGTCTACTCAACTTGACAAAAAGGATACGTCTTATTTACCTAATGAAAACTTGTGTAGCACTTGCTAACTTCTAGCACTGTCCCAAGCACTTTACAGGCATTTGTCTGAACCCTTAGAGCAACCCACTTAAACATACACTTACATCATGTCCACTTTCACATGAACAAACCGAGGCACAGAAGGTCAGATACACCGCCTGACTGGGAAGTAGCAGAGGTGACCTAGGAACGCTTCCCTGAGTGGCCTGCGGATTTCAAGGATTACCCACAACCTCAAAAGTCTGGGAGGCCCAAACCTTCTTTTTTCATCCTCATTTTGGCACAAGTGTCATGCAATTTTGCAAGAAAAAAATTCAATTTAGAAATAACAGGGTTCAGGGCCTAACACAATAGCATAGTGGCTAAAATGTCCTTCCTTTGCACACCTGGGATCCCATATGGGCACCGGTTCTAATCCCGGCAGCCCCACTTCCCATCCAGCTCCCTGCCTGTGTCCTGGGAAAACATTCGAGGATGACCCAAAGCCTTTTGACCCTGCATCCGCATGGGAGACCTGGAAGAGCTTCGGATCAGCTCAGCTCCAGCCATTGCGGCCCCTTGGGGAGTGAGTCATCAGATGGAAGATCTTCCTCTCTGTCTCTCCTCCTTTCTATATATCTGCCTTTCCAATAAAAATAAATACATCTTTAAAAAATAAATAAATAAATAAGAGGGTTCAGACACTAACCAGATCTGAGAAAGTAAAAACAACGTTACATTACTAAATTTGTTTTGGAAGTTGTAGTTACTTTCATTTTAAAATTTTGCTACTTTTTTCTTAAGAGCTAATAAGTATTTTTTTTTATAAAGATTTATTTTATTTTTATTGGAAAGGCGGATATACAGAGAGGAGAGATAGAGAGGAAGATCTTCCGTCCAATGATTCACTCCCCAAGTGAGCGCAACGGCTGGTGCTATGCCGATCCGAAGCCAGGAGCCTCTTCCGGGTCTCCCACGCGGGTGCAGGGTCCCAAAGCTTTGGGCCGTCCTCGACTGCTTTCCCAGGCCACAAGCGGGGAAGATGGGAAGAGGGGTGGCCGGGATTAGAACCGGCACCCATATGGGATCCCAGGCATGCAAGGCGAGGACCTTAACCACTGCGCCATCGCGCCGGGCCCTAATAAGTATTTCTTAAATGCAGTTTCCAGTTCTAGTGATCAGTAGACAAAACCCACCCAGAAAGAAGCTTTTTAGGACCCCCCACTATTTGGGAAGTGAGGGGAGGAGTGCTGAGACCAAAGCCGCTGGGGACACCTGCAGCCCCCCATGCCGCCTCTGTCCCATCCACTTTTTCCTTCCAAGTCCAGCACAGCCTGCAGGTCTTACGGACACCCAGTGCTGCTGACCTGAACTGAACACAGCATGGACCAAGTGACCATCTCCCTAAATCATCCAAGGAGAACTAGAGAGGGGGTGAAAGGAAATCACTGAACGAACTCAAGACTCTCTCATTAGAGACCCCAACAAGCCCTGGCTCCTCCTGGCTTCGGACAGGCTCAGCTCAGCTGCAGCCACTGCAGCCATCTGGGGAGAACCAGCAGATGGAAGGTCTCTGTTTCTGCTTCTCTCCCTCTTCCAAGTAAGTAAATTTCAAACAAGTAAATAATTTTTTTTAAAAAAGCAAGTAAAAAATCCTGTCAATCTTGAAACCAGCGGCATGAATTCAGAGAAACCAATGACACCGACCCAGCGGGCTGGAACCAGTCAGAGCAAGCAGGACAGTGGATTTAACCGAACCTGGAGAAACAGAGAGCGAGAGTTGAGGTGCACACGGAAGAGTAACTAACAGTGGCAGCTCATGGAGCCCACCCTGACAGAGACCCAGGGACATGGCTGCAGTGAGCACTGACCCAGCAGAGATCCGCGTGACACTGTGTGACAATGGGACATGGGTCAGCAGAGGGACCTGACGTGAACCTAAATCCGGTAAGAAGCCTAGGTGTTGGGGCCACTGCGAAAACTGGAGGTGCTTGTGATGCTGGGCTGGGAGAACTGGTAACTGCCATTTCTGCAGCTGGCACACAGCTGGAACACATCCCTCCACAGCACTCCCAGTAGGCTCTCATTGCTAAGCATGGTGCTCCAGGTAATGGACCCCAAGAGCTACAGGCAAGGCACAGGTAATCGTACCACATCCCTACGCTGCAACTGCCGGAGTAACCCCAAGAACTAGTGCCATCCCCAAGACCGTGTGAAACTGTCAGCCAGGACAGCGAGCCAGGGACGACAGGTGTCAGAGCTCAAACTGCAGCAAATGTAAAAGCAAAAAAGGGTCAACTACATCAGGAACTACTCATTAGTCAGGATGGGGACTGCCCTCGGTGGGGAGGGCAGGTGGGGAGGACATCTGGCTGCAGGCCGACTTGGCTCCCCAATTCACTCAGATGGTTAAACTTCATATATTTTTTTAAAGATTTATTTTATTTTTATTGGAAAGGCAGATATACAGAGAGGAAGATCCTCCATCCATTGATTTATTCCCCAAGTGACCGCCATGGCTGGTGCTGCGCCAATCCAAAGCCAGGAGCCAGGAACTTCCTCCAGGTCTCCCACGCGGGTGCAGGGTCCCAAGGCTTTGGGCTGTCCTCGACTGCTTCCCAGTCCACAAGCAGGGAGCTGGATGGGAAGCGAGGCTGCCAGGATTAGAACCAGCAGCCATATGGGATCCTGGTGCGATCAAGGACATTTTAGCTGCAAGGACATTTCAGCTGCAGCAGTCATCGTGCTGGGCCCAAACCTCCACACTCTTATGTTAATAGTTAAGAGAGTAATATCAGTATATCAAGGGAGAGGCTTGTCCCACTTGTCTAGGATGAGGATGCCTGGCAGAGGCCTCTCTCTCCCTCCCTCCCTCCCCTCCTTGTGAGGTTTCCTCAGCAGGTGTCCCACTGCAGCATCACAAGCCAGAACACACCTACTGCATCCTGAGCAGTGCACCTCCAACCTGGCCCGAAATTACCCTTCGTCCCTCAGAGCGGCTCTTCTCGGGAGTTTCACGGTGTTGAATAGCTAACGGACCAGCACGCAGCTGGAGTCTCAGTGTGGTCCCTACTACCTGCTACCTGGATAGGCCCCTAGGAGGGGCCGTTTCCTCCCAGAGGCCACCATCCTCGCCGGCTCCCTCCTCTTCTCTCAGTGCCTATGTCCTGGTGCTGTCTGGCCACCATCCCCAGACCCCAGGCTCCCTGAGGGCCAGGACACTGCCAGCTTCCTCTGATGGATGCCCACATCTAGCCCGGTGCCCAGCTCAGAGCAGGTGTTCTCCAATGACTGCTGAGTGAAGGAACAAGGCAAAGAAACACTAGAACAATGAATTTGATTCCCAAAATTAGTCTTTTATTATATAATACGATCGTGACCTTGGAAAGGATACACTTTGTGGAAAAAAAAACTGGATTCACTTAAACTGGAGAGAGGCCAACTCGAGCCCGAGATGAAAAATTCAAAAACAGAACAAACGCCTTGACTCACTGTCACACGAGCCTGAAGGCGGGCAGCTGTCC